GAATGAGTTGGTTATCTAAAGTTAATCCATGTATTGATTGGGTTACCAAGACAATTAAGATTGGGAAACAACAGTGTCTGATAATGTCTGAACAAGATTCAGATATGAAAGGGGTTCCTTCATGTTATTATGGAGGATGTGTTTTGTAATAAAGAAGCGGACAAACTACCACGACACAGACCTTACAATTGTGCTATAAACTTAGAGGAGGGGGCTAGATTACCTGCTGGGCATTTATTTATTTATTTATTTATTTATTTATTTGCTTCACTTTTATACCGCATATTTCAGCCTTTAGCAGGCGACTCAATGCGGTTCACAGTGCAATTAAAACACAATAGTACAAAAAACCGGAACGACAAAGTTGCTCCACCAACAATTAACATCAGACAGACAACCCACAAACAACATATACAACGCCTCCGTTAAAGTCAGATCCATTCTCATAGTCATTATGCCGTTCCTATATTCAGTTACCGTCTTCCTTAGTTAGTTGCATTACTGCTTTATTACTGCTTAGTTAGTTGCATTACTGCTTTAGTTGCATTTATATGCTTTATCTGTTCCAGAGCAACAGGCATTGAGAGAATTCTGACCATCTAGCTCTCCTACTGCAGCACCAGTATTTTTCGTTGCTAAGAAGACTGGAGATCTTAGACTGGTTTGTGACTATAGGGTGTTAAATAAGTTTACTGTAAGAGATCGGTACCCACTGCCATTAATACAAGGAGCTTCTATTTTCTCTAAGTTAGATTTGCACGGTGCATATAATTTGGTACGAATTAAGGAGGGAGATGAATGGAAGTCTGTGTTCAATACATGTTTTGGGGCTTGTGAGTTTTTAGTTATGCCATTCAATTTATGTAATGCTCCAGCTCTGTTTCAACGTTTAATTAATGATGTCTTCCGTGATCTGTTGGATCGCTTTGTAGTCATCTACTTGGACGACATTTTGATTTTCTCTAAAAATGTACAAGAACATAAGCAACATGTTCGGCAGGTGTTAAAACGTTTAAGGCAAAATGGATTATTTGCCAAGGCAACCAAATATGTATTTCATGTCACTGAAGTTGAGTTTTTGGGGCATATCATTTCGGGGAAGGAGTTAAAGATGGATCCTCATAAAGTGGATGCTGTCAATTCATGGAAGGTATTAACTTCCAAGAAGGATGTTCAAAGGTTTCTTGGGTTTGCCAATTATTAACGAGAATTTATTCCACCCTATGCCCAGTTAACTGTTCCTTTGACTCGTCTACTACAGAAGAAGTATCCTTTTGAATGGACTATAGAGGCTCAACAAGCGTTCAATCCACTTAAGCAAAGTTTTCAGGATGGTAAGATTCTTATACATCCTGATGTTAACAAACCATTTGTTGTGGAAGCAGACGCTGCCAATTATGCTTTGGGAGCTGTGTTGTCACAAAAAGATTAATTTGGGAACTTAAGACCTTGTGGGTTTTACTCAAGGCAACTCACCTCTTTTGAACAAAATTATACCATTTGGGAAAAAGAATTATTAGCTATTAAAGTTGCTTTTGAGGTCTGGAGGCATTGGTTGGAGGGTGCAAAGCATAAGATCATTGTCAGGTCGGATCATAGGAATTTGGAACATCTACAGACGGCTAGAAAGTTAAATCAGAGACAGATTCGGTGGGCGTTATTCTTTTCGAGATTCGACTTTAAAGTGGAGTTCATTGAGGGGAAGCAAAATATTAGGGCGGTTGCGTTATCTCATAAACCAGAATATAAGTCATTAAGTGAGCCAATAACTAAGACTATAATACCACCATCAGACCAAGTTTGGTCTACGTTTGGTCTCCGCTTGTTGCCAGGAGCACTGAAGTTAAGTGTTTCTGAGCTTATTTTTGTGTTGGACTCAATAAACTGCTTTTGGACTAAGAACTGTGTGTGGCCCCTTTAAGGCGCCTGGGTCTTGTCATGTATCTTAATGGCAACTCAATCTAGGATTAAACAAAGAAGCAAACATGTTGACATCTAGTGCAATTGTGTCAGAGATGCTGTGAAAAATGGAAAAAATTCACTGACTTATTGCAATACTTGTCTGAACTTAGCTAACATATTAACGAAGCCATTGGGGGCACAAAAGCATAGCCAAGTCCTGAATGATTTGGGAGTATTTGAATTTGCTATGTAAAAGGTTTTTTTTTTTTAACACAAGGAGGAGTGTTAGGGTATACTGAAGATTGACAGCAAGATTGTGTGTGTTGCAAAACCTATACTGCTGATCACAGCCTGCAGGAACTAATCTAGGTCAGCAGCTAAGCAATTAAGTTTGGACCATACCCGGTGAGGTGTGGCTGTGCGTGTGTATTAGCTCCTGCTTTTGGTTCGCTTTTGCTATTAGCTCTCTCCTTTGGCAGAAAAAGAAGATGCCATGCTTTTTGGGTCTTGCAATGCTTACAAAGACTATATAAGTTTATTACACCTTAAGAACTATATTTGATGTAATACTGCAAGTTGTTTTCACTCTGCTGTAAAGAGTAAAGGTTTCTGTTTTTCGTTTTGCAACTGTGCAAAGTTATTGTGTTTTTGTTGGATGGGACTGAATTCCGCTTGAAATGCAACAAAGTCAATCTTCCGACTAAAACCTTTCCCACACTCCAGACACGGAAATGGCTTCTCCCCACTGTGAATTGTTTCATGGTAAGTCAGATCTATCTTCCGAATAAAATTTTTCTCGCACTCCAGGCATTTGAATGGTTTCTCCCCAGTGTGAGTTGCCAGATGCAGAGTGTGAGGCCTACCTTCTGCATAAAGCCTTTTCTACAGTCCAGGCATTTGAAAGGTTTCTCCCCAGTGTGAATGGCTTGATGATGGGCGAGGTATTTCATCCAAGGGAAACTATTTCCACACTCCAGGCATTTGAATGGTTTCTCCCCAGTGTGAGTTGCTTGATGCAGAGTGAGGCCTGCCTTTTGAATAAAGCCTATTCCACACTGTGGGTATCTGATGCTTTCTCCCCAGTATGAATTGCTTGATGTCGGGTGAAGTGTGTCCTGTTTTGCTCTTTAAAACAGCCTCAATACAAAGTTGAAAGTAAAAGAAAAATGCTTTACTCCAGCAAAGAAAATAAGGGAATGCAATTGAAAAAGTAAACAAGAAAATCTTACTACAGATACTACAGATAAGGCACAGATTACGAAGACCTTAACACAAAGCAGGTTCCGGCAGTAACAGAGTTGTTGTTAGCTAAGTTCTCCTGCTTCTGATTTATACCCCACACAGGAGGGCTTAAGGTGTCACCCAATTAGCTCATCAATCTTTTAGCAGCTAATCTAGCTGACCGCCACCTGTTCTCGGACTCCGTCTTTCTAAAAAAGTAGGCTAAAAAAGCCTCATTGTCAGATTCTCCTTCCTCTTCCTCCAAGAAACCTCCCTGCTCCCCTTCTTCTTCCGATGATGAGGAATCCCCAAAAAAGTGCACTTTCTGAATAAAGCCTTTTCCACAGGCCGTGCGTTTCAATGGTTTCTCCCGAGTGTGAGTTGCTTGATGCTTAGTGAGCTCTGCCTTCTGAATAAAGTCTTTTCCACACTCTGGGCATTGAAATGGTTTCTCTCCAGAGTGAGTTGCTTGATGCTGAGTGAGGCATGACTTCCTAATAAAGTCTTTTCGACACTGGGCATTTGAATGGTTTCTCCCCAGTGTGAGTTGCTTGATGCCGAGTGAGGTTTGCCTTCTGAATAAAGCCTTTTCCACACTCTGGGCATTTGAATGGTTTCTCCCCAGTGTGAGTTGCTTGATGCTGAGTGAGGTTTCTCTTCTGAATAAAGCCTTTTCCACACTCTGGGCATTGGAATGGTTTCTCTCCAGAGTGAGTTGCTTGATGCTGAGTGAGGCATGACTTCCTAATAAAGCCTTTTCGACACTGGGCATTTGAATGGTTTCTCCCCCGTGTGAGTTGCTTGATGCCGAGTGAGGTTTGCCTTCTGAATAAAGCCTTTTCCACACTCTGGGCATTTGAAT